ACCGTTGGAAGTTTTTATTTTTTATACTTTCGTACCTTCTGTAAGAGAAATTGTATGCACTTCTTGTTATTTTATATACAAAAACGATAACGGACACTTAATGAGTTTATTTTAAATAGCGTCTAAAGAAAACTAATTGCAATTGTAACTGAAAATTTAAGTCAGAATAATGTGAAACAGAATTGTAGTAAAATTTTAACAAAATACGCTCGTTACATTCCCATGCCAATATATTAAGATACTGCTTATTTAAATACATTCATCATTATGAAAAAAGTTGTGAGCACAGAGTAGATACTATACAACTTAAAACACACACAGTATTTAATTTAACCTTATAACAGTAAACCTGATGTAACCACGATCTTCCGTTTATTGCTCACACGTTAGCGAAAGCCCAACAAATTAAGTTAGCACATTGAAGCCTGAACCATTTGTTTCCAATTAAGTGGCCGCTGCCGTCCACAAAATGCTCTCCTGTGTATATCCCGTCCAAAAATAGTGCAAATGACACTAATTACACCCAAGTAGCGGACCAGTGCTAATGTCTTTCTCATACAATTCCGATACAATCTTAAAATTGGTACTATTTGTGTATAATATTTGGAATCATATCATATACTTACTGTTATAAGTAATGTTTGATATGAAACGTCCATTGAAAAACATCATATATATCATCAATGAAATAAATTACACTTAATTTGTAAGCAAAGATAAGAAATTTAGTAAATATTTGATATGTAATAATGAACGTGGGAATTAGGGAATTGACTGTCAATAAATATGATAATTAGTGTTTGTATTTATTTAGGAACTTAACTTGAAAAAATATAATATATAATTTGGGTATTAAAATTCATTATGAGTTACATAAAGAAATAATTAATATAAAAGTTGCCAACTTCTAGGCTTTACCAAAGAATAATGGTGTCATTATTGTGATTTATAAAGATATATTTTTCTTTGACAGGAACGCGTTTCTCTCTTGAATTGGGGCATGCTGAAAAAGACGGTACATTTTTTATATACTAAATCTACAAACAGTACTACAATAATTAAGTCTCGTGTTTTAAATATCAATATATAGTTATATTTTTAATCGTGGCCGTTACTAAGTTTCTACATATAATCTCGCTAGTTTAAAATGTTTTAAAAATACTTTTTTTCATATATAAATATCGCAAATTTTTTATTAGTTATTATTAACGTAAACATAGTATGTAATGTCGGTTATATTATCCCACTGGCATAGTATTCAAGTCGTTCCCGACTCGTACTACTACGGATGTATAACAAGACAAACGTATGCCCTTGGAATAAATGAGGATAGACCAGAAGTACGACCTGCATAGAAATAGACCACCCTAACTGTTGTTTGATGGTGAGAAAATACTGTTTCAGCAACGCTACAAACGACAGATATCTTGTTTGTTTAAAAGAATTAAAGTTATATAATATGAATAATCTAATGTAACTCATTTGTGATAAAATATTTTGTGGTGAAACTGGCTTTCTTATGTTAATCCTTTTTTATCATTTTAATAACGTTGTAAAATATCATGAGATAATTATAATAACTTTTATATTTTTCACTAAAAATTTCGAATATCTTCAGTTCCTGTTTCCTTCATCCAAATTCTATTCATGCTTACTTTTCTGACCCTGACTCTATATGTAGTTCTTGGATCACAAACAGTAAGTATTTATTTCTTTGAATAACTGTTAATCTTCATAATGTACAAATGACTCAAGCGAGTGGATCATGTGTCTTAAAATGAGTAGCGTCGGCTGATACAAATGTTAACAAGCGAAGAATTCTTATCCTTAAATTGAGCTTAACCAGAGTTCAAAGATAAACGAGCTTACAGCTACTGCCGCAGTTAACTTGGACGGGTTTAAGGCAATAAAACGAATTAAAGTCATAATATTCAGTTTCGGTGTTTAATGTGACACCAGTTTGGTGTGTAAATAATTGTTAAGCTTAAATTATTAAGTTAAAACTTCTAACCATAAAAACAAGTTAAGAATATTAGTTAATAATCATCTATCCAAATAGATCTAATTAAAATTCATATCACATTACTGACATGACAGAAGAATTCGCGAAATTAATTTATCATGATACTTTTTCCTTTAAAGATAATTATATTTGATAGGTCTCATTAGACTGTTTGTTATTTTATGTTCTTATTAAATAAGCCTACTTACAACTAAACGATTACTTTTCTTAGAATTATGACAATATTTATAGTGTTTATTAAATTTTAACATCAACATCGAACGTGATATAACGAAGACGTCCATAATAATTCAAATATATTCGACTTGCGTAATATTTTATATATCAAGTAGTTTATCATTTTATCCGTAAAGCCGTGATTATAGTTGTAGAAAAAAAAACCGAAGGGTCACGTCCGTGGCACGGTGACGATCGCTGAGATAACTCACTGATGTAATTACAACGCGTCGAACATAAATCCAGATTTGGTACAAATTGTATCTAACACACGGTCATTAAGTGCCTTCTAACATAGAAGCTATCAAAATATACTAAATCCATACATATATTTGTATGTGTGCATATATATTATCGTTGTTTTGAATTTAAAACATTTGTTATAAAAAAATCAATAAAAAAATATCGAACTTCTTAAAATAACATGTACATGCATATATAAAAACTATAATATCTGTATTTTTAAAATAATTTAAACCGTAATAAGCTTTTTCTTATAAAAGACATTTGACGAATATATTTCTATATATTATAATGAATTTCAAATTGATTCTCCTAACTGTCCGTCCGTGTGTATCGTATGTAACACAACAGATTTTGACGGCTGTTATCTCAATATCGTCATAAAGTAATGCTATCGTACTTTTGTATATAAATTAATGTTCATTATAAAAAAACTTCCATTCAATATGAAACTCATATATTAATTTATAGATTTATTAAAATATGAAGCGAAGGTTTTAAAAAAATATATTATATCATTACTGAATTTGTAAAATTCAATTACAATACGAAATTCATTATTACATACATTCAAAGTGTATTCAATACCTGATTTACTAATTATTTCGTCACATTTTAGGAAACTTCCAGAACCTAAGCCTTACTTGAATAAGATTCATACCCATGTTTCAAGAATTTTATTTTATTATATTATATTAAAAGATTCAAAAATGGCCTCACACAGAAAAACATGAACTAATCCCGATGACAGCTGAAGAATTAAAAGATAAGCCTTCATGATATATAAATACAAGATGTTTCTAAACGCTATCTCGTACAAATATATGGGACATAAATTAATCGGCTTACATACAAAACGCGTAATGCTATGTAAATTTTACTATCGTGTTTGGGTATCTGTGTGTCATAGCTCATCTGATAAGTTTTGATCCTTGTCTGGATCTGCTGAGCAACTGGTCTTGATACTTACATTATCTAGGACGGATTATATTACAGCGAATAAATGTTTTTTGATAATATTTTTAATGTGTTTACAACTATCATTCGGGTTAAATAAATAACTACGTTTTCCTCATAGTGAGGAAGAAGATATTTTAAGTTTAAATAAAATCGGATTCCATCAAATGTTTCTAATAAGATTGTTATACAACAATAACAGTGTAAAATCTGCCTTACAATATAATAATAGTATTTAAATAAAAGCATTTAATGATAAGTCTGCAAACATTAAACATGTATTATTCCGTGTGATCTTACATGACATTAATGTAAGTGACAGTAGTTGAGCTTTGTTTGCGCTAACACTATTTAGTTACCTACTTACGGATGAGGTTTATACTTTATATCAATCTGTCTGATAAAACTTGTGTCGCAATAATTTTATTACTGGAATTATAATTCTTTAAGAATATAAAACGTTGTTAATATTACGTGTTATGAAACTGTGTCGGCGATAGTAATGTACTACGCCTATTTGTGTTTTGATTATTTGTTAATTAGCGAGCATTCTTAATATAAACAATTATCAAATTTATCAATATTTCCCACGTTATACATTCATAAATTAAATATTGAAATCTTTTTAATTATCAGTTGTTGTTATAATGCACATTAACGAAGATATATATTAGTCACGACGGGAATATCAGGAATTATGACTATACAGATGGTATATTAATTTAATATGCTCTCGATATATTATTCTAAGTATTTTTTATCGATCACTCGTGTACATGAAGAAATCAAGTATTTAAGTTCTAGCTGGGACTTTTTGAACTTCGAAAACTGAATCCGAAATGCAAATGGAGACAGCGATAAAAGCACACCAATTACAAGTAACTATACCGTCCGAAGCGTTCCGAAGCGTAATTGTGCAGCCGTGATTGTAGAGTTAGCACATAATACATTACAGTTTGTGTCACAACACAATCAGGCGCGAGGACGAATCAGGCGCCGAGAAGCGTAATCTGGGTTAACAGGGGTCAAACGGCATCACAAATTCCAATACGATATTAGACAGATCTGTCGGGTATCGGTATGACCAGTGGCTTCCTTGTTTAAACTATTTTATTGTTGTCTATGATATGATTCGTAATAATTATTATAAACTAGGTACTTCGTCTTCGAATTCATTTTCTTTTTTTTGCTTCCACACATATATTTGATAGCACAATTAAATTGGTATGACAAGGGTGTATATAAGTTTCAGTGATTTATAATTTAATGTAAGTTTATTTATGGTCTGTGACGTTTCACAAATCTCGTTACGATGATTCGCGAGTCAACTGCGGTCGCAATGAGCGCAATCAGTGGCTGATTTCAAGAACGATTCGTATCTGACGCAATGAACAAGTGTCCAATTTGAATTTACTTGCCTTAAGTGGTTCGACTTTTGTTAGATTACTATAGACCGTTGACTCTCTTGTTTTATGTGTGGATTATTTTACACGAACTCCTTTTCTAAGCTAGTGTTAGTATGTAGTAGTATCATAAGTTTATTTTGTGTATATTGTTTCAGAGTCTGTCGTCAGATTTACGCCGCAGTAAGACACCACCACGCCGTTCGCCAGAGGAGCGGGCGGTACCACGTCCGCCCTCCGCGCCGGTACACGATCGACCTTCGCTCACACCGCACACACCTCACCTGTCGCCAAAGAAGGAGGCCTTCAACAACCTCCTCAATAAAGGAATATCAGGTCGGTTTCATAGGCTGTAAGATTATGAAACAAACATTTTGTTCATTATTTTAGCTTCAACTATACTAGACTCTTACTCTTTCAAGCTGCACATCATTGTGTTGCTTTAAACTTTATATTAGAACTATTTCCTCAATATAACATATCACTTGACTGCATTGGTTCTTCTATGAATATTTCTATATTTAACTTTAGTTGATAATAAGCCTTTCACCTACATATTTTTAAACGAAGGAGATGGTTTATTTTAAACACCTTTAGAACTGAACAAGTGCGTATGAGACAAACTTTTGATTTTATTACAAACTAGTTTTTGCCCGTCATTTCGTCCACGTAAACATCGGCATTGAGCTCGGAGAGAAATATATATAGTGTGTTAAAACTATAGAAATGTTAACCCACTGTCAGTTACACTATAGTCTGTGTCACGTGACATCATAACAGCTGTTATTTCTTGAACATGGGGACATACTTGGAATTCTTGGATAAATTTTCTATATGTTATTTTGATATATTATGAAGTTTCATTAAAATCCATTCATTAGTTTTTGCGTGAAAGAGCAACAAACGTACCTACTAACATGTTCACAAATTTTCCTATTTATAATATCAGTAAGATTTACATTTTTTTCATGTTAAACAATACAAACTTAAATAAAAAATCATAAAACAAGCCTTGAATTTCTTTAATATAAATATAATTGTTCCATATATTTATATTGTTTAAACCATTTATGTAAATACAAATATTCGTGTGATAGGAATTCATAAGTTTAGCACTGAAATTAATATGACAATCGGGCCACGTAAAGCGCACCACAAAAAGGTATGCGGTGCAGTCCGGTTTCGTTGCTTCCGGCCACCAATTTTATTCAAGCGTATAATAAAAAACAGTATTGACTGTATCACTTATAATATATAACAGAAAATTAATTCTCTATACTTTATTAATTGCCGTCATTCACGATATTATAACCAGTTTGAATTTCATGAGCTTCAGACATTATAAGTCTTTATTTTAATAGATTTGAACGTAATATATACAAACATACATGTTATTATCATATAAGCAATGCTAATTAAATATTGTATAGAGCTTTATTCAGTCTTTTCAGAGTAATCTTGTTATTTTTTCTTATTAAAATCCGTTCCAACATTAAAACGATACTTGTATAAATAATTTATTTTATTGGTAGTCACGCGCGATCCCCATTGTTAAGACCGTGTCCATCTCAGCGTTAATCTGACGGTGTAATTGATTTACTGATATCTTACGTACAATGATCTGAGAGATTACATGGATATATTTATTATAAGCCCAATTTAACTATATATATAGTCTTATATTTATACGCCTATGTTATAAAAGAAACTATATTAACAAATGTATGAATTAACACACGAATTTCAAGTTAATTTTCGTCAGAATCAAATATAAAAAATCGCCAACTATATATACATGAAGTTATAAACCGAACTTTAATTCCCACCCGTGTGTATCCTGCGTAATAATTTCCCATTCATTCTCTTTATAAATCATAATCTCTAAATCTGATAGTATGTCCTGTTCTTTTTCATGTAAATCCGTATGTCTGTCCCGCTCTAGTTCTTTTACCCCTTAAATCTAATCCGGGACATCCCGTCCGCCCGGTAAGGAGCTCAACGTATAAGCTGGCACACACGCAACAGACATTCATACACGCTGTATTCTCTCGGTTCACTTGGCTTATATAACGAGCGGAGTTGAAATAATATAACGCTAAACGGATTAATGTAAATAATATTACTATAGAATCTATTATTATAATGAAACGATTAATAATCATTTATTCGTCGTCTCCGTTACGGGTTCGATGCGTGAAATAATGTGGAAATATTGTTATCTTACATTAGAATCTTAACATATTATTATTGTAGCGTGAATTTTGAAAGGGTTACCATGTAACCGACAAATCTCTTACGCTGGTAAGTAAGTCCATACTTTCTGTATTTATCAAGATCATCATTTCCATTGAGAAAATGCGTATGCAAAAAGTACAGTCTTTTCCCACATAATTATGATTGCATTTAGTCACACGCAATGGTGTTCTGCAGACGCATTCCGATGTAGATTTTAGATATAGTATTTTATATGTTTTTTTTTGTTTTTATTTTAACGTTACATACTTTGTAGCTGTCGGCTTTTCATTCAGCTATGTATAGCCTCATTTGTCCTGAATAACGTATGTTAGTATTTAAATATATCCCCGATGTCGTATAAGCATCACCTGCTTTATTATAGCAAGCGAAAGTGGTCCTAATACGGAAGCAATAGAGGTGAAAAAGTGATGACATAATAATTATACAGTGCGTGATCCGTCGTGATCTTCAAAGAAACGGTGGCGAGTTAATACCAAACGGCTCTAATCGGGTGTTATAAATCATTATTAATTTCAAGTCTCGCCGATCCGCGATTAGCTTGCACAATACCCTCGGATAACTACAGAGATATATCTTTTGTCAATTCGTATAAGTACTGACGCACGATTAATTCTTAAATAAATTAAATACTAGTAATATTTATTATAACAATAGGTATTTATTCATTCTGTCTTAGTGCCTTTTACTGTATTTTTATTCAAATCATCTATGTATTTATACATAGTAATATGTGAATTAACATTTTTTAACATATAGTCTGGAAATTTTTTATTAAAAAAGACACTGGTTTCGGATTAATATATTAGCACGGGCCACGAGCTCTTGAATTATGTATATATTCATTAATTACGAAAAGAATCGCATATCGGAATATATTAATTCAGCGTAAAGTTATACAACACGAACAATAAAGGAAATTTTCAAATGTTTCTGCCGACTGTACAACGTATGAAGCCGGTTTTAAAGATAAGCCGATTTATTTTTTATGCCCCGTATTTTTGGATAGCACACCTTTATGCATAAGTACGGAAAAGTATTGCTATATGGGAAATACTTTATGATAATATTAACTAATATTAACTATTTTATATGTGACCGTAGGAATGTATGTTATCAATCAAACGAGAATTTTAAATAAACATGTGATGTGACAAGTTTATATTTTACGAGCTCCATTTTATATCATTTTAATGATCGCTGGACTTGTTTTCATTTTATTTCTACATAGCGTCGAATTAATTTATACTGGAGATAATTCTGACGTATTTATTTTTTAGTATATTTTATGTATTGTATATATTATTTAATCCGAGTGTGTATGTCCCGGGTATGAGAGGGTTAGTTCTGTTTTATCTCCGGGCGACACGAGGTTTATCCGGCCCAGATGATCCGGATAATGCTACCCTCTCTCCCGTGTATCGATTTATACCACCTACTCATTCCCTTTTTCCATTTCAATTTGAGTGCAATCCGTTCAAACATTCAAAGGTTGTGTTGAATTTCATTACGAAAAATACTAACAATCAAATTTGTCCTCAATTTCAGAACAAACATAAATATAGTCTGAATGTAATGCGATTTTACATTCAAATGTGTTATTAATGTTGTATTAAAATTAATATGGAATAATAAAGAATTAAAAAGTCTTCCTTGGGGTGTAATAGTTCATTTAGTAGAGTGGTCAGCGGTCACGGGTACAAATTTTTACTTATTATTGTTTGGCTCATTTCTTTTCCGTTACAAAGCCAATATTATACGATTTATTTGTAAGCAGATATAATTAAAAAAAAAGATAATGACCCCACTTGACGTTATCCTTAAGTCCCTTTACTATCAAGGATAATCCGAACAAGTATAAAAGAAAATAACATTTTTGTCTTACTTTATATTTAATATTCAAATATATGAAATTTGAAATATGATACTTTGTTATAAATAGGGTATATGATACGAATATACTCCATCCATTTCATTAATTAATACCCTTTAGTATCGAGGATAATCCGACCAAGTATGAGAGAGTATTAACTTTTTATATCTTATAGTGCCCTCGTATACGAAAATCCGTAATATTCCCGACCTCAGACACCATCCTGATCCGGTCGAGTAATCCGGCTTAAGGCTGATCCGTGTAGTGTATACATACATGTATATGTATGTATGTATGTATGTGTGCTATGAACTGTTGACAAAGAGCTCGTTGGATCTCTCTACTTAAACTTTGCTAACATTCTATTCGTATTTTCTTTTTATAAATATTTTTTATTTATATTTCACGTAATATTTAAATCTTTTGTTGATATTATTTGACAGATACTTTGATATCAGTCTCTTTAAGTTAATATGCATTATAGATTTTTTTATGAAAATAAAAAATAAACTTTCATAAAATGCTCTTGTCTAATTAATGTTTCATTCTTTTGTTTCAAAATTTCATATCGAATATTATATGATATTCGTTTTGTTACGAAAAATTTTTTCTTAATTATTTCTATGGTTTATTTAAATTTTTTCTAAAACCGTTGTGACTGAGGGAGTTCATTAAAAATACCTACTTCTAGTTCCGTCTATGATGCATAAAATAGATTAAATTAATTATATTTTTTTCTTTATCTCTATAATTTAAATAACTTCTCTGTATTGCCTAAATTATTTTCGAATGCGACAGAACTCAGGAGCTGAGACAGTAATCTATCTGTTAAACTGCTGATAAAAAACAGATAAAACGTTTTTTAACTATTTAATTTTTGCATTCATAAATATCTAATTGCTTATTATAATTTTAATTTTATAATAATATGAGAATTCGGTACTTAAAAAATTATAATATATACACTATAATCGGTTCATATTTGAATTAATTACAGTGATAATGTCATAATTAAGCAAAAATGTGCTGCCTTGAAAGAGACTTGATTAATCTAATTTTTTTTTAAATTATGATAATTGATTTTTATGTAAAGAACATGCAACGGTACATTGAACATTTGTTTGTAAACAAAATATTCACCCGTATGTTGTTATATACATACATTTAATATATAAATTTCTTTAACATACAATTATTCAGCACTGACTAAAAAAACATATTTAAAAATAATTTCATTTTTATTGTATCATATAGTGATCAATATAAAAGTTTTTGAGGTTTTTTTTTTAATAAAAGCACAATAATACTAATAACTACGCTATACGAGTATATACGCTATATATATGTAATTCGAATATTTTAATCATAATATTTGTATGTATTATATGATATATATTCAGAAATTCTATTATCTAAGGCGATATTCAACTAAATCCGGATTCAAGTAATCCCGTCGGAGATGTATCCCGCTGGTGGGTAGCGGCCGCCTAATCTCTTTATCCGGCTTACTCTGCTTAGTGTGTACTAGCCTTTACTATATGAGTCTTTCCGTGTTGCTAAAAGCTCGCTATAAGCTTTACCTAGAACTGATTCAGAATCTATCTTCAAGTTTTATATATCCAAAAAATCGATTAATTTATATACATACAAAATAAAACTTTAATGCGTCGTATTAAAGTTTGTATTCGAAAGAGTTGATTGTATAATCAGCAAGAATTAGTATAATCCGCGGATCAACGTACGGATTAGCTGACGGTTAGCTCACGAATTATGCCGGTTTATTTACGTCCAATAGCATATAACTATTAATGTATTTTTTAATTATACTTTATTAAATCAAATAAGATTTTAACACTCATTTATTTAAAGATGTAAATCTATTTGTTTCAACAAACGTCACGAAGGGGATCCCTGATAAAGAAGAGCGCAAAAAAATAATTAAAAATACACTTTATTCCATATAAAAATGTATAGAAATAATTCTGGAGGGTGCTTCTTCCATCAATCACTAACAGATTATCTCGTGCACTTCAACCCAATTAGAATCGTGCATTCAGCTTAACGCACACAAACAACCTTACATACCGCAATTACCTACATCATGTTTTTATTATTAGTTGGTATTATAATAAACCTTAATATTAAACCGATTTAAAACTAGGCTTATCTTGTTAGTTGCGCTAAATACATTAAATACTTGCAATAATATCTGCATTATAACAACCTAGATATAATTATACGAAGGTTTTTATGTAAAACAATACATCATTATTTAATCATGATCAGTGTTATACGATTTTATGCTTTAATATAAATACGGTAGCATTTATTTTCGTATAAACTAAATGTCTGGCTCTTTTGAATTCGGCGGCAACAACAGAGACGCAATCAGCTGAGCTTCCGATCAATCGATAAAAAATCAAAGTATAACATTGACCGCTCACTGCGGCTGATCCGAAACATTTGTCAAGATCAAACTTACTGGGGCTCTGGGGGATAACGAGAATACGTGATATTTAACTCTTAAATCAATGATAATACTCAAACAATCAATATGGTTATCTATGTAAAGTATTTATGAATCGGTTTCTAGTCGAGGACTCGTAAAAACCATAGAAGTGAATAGCAAAGGAGCAGGACGATCAACGGGAACCCGTCTGGCAGGGTTTGTAGGGCTTAATGCGGCCCTTAACAAAATCTTAATCCCTACAAAGGGTTAGGAATATTATCTCATTATATACCCAAGAGCTTTTATTCGCGTCGCTTCCTTGTTTTATTATGCAGTTAAATGTTTTGTAATTACATTGATACGATTTAGACGGCACAGTGAAAGTTTATGTTACGGTTAAGTGTATCTTTTTATAGTGGATACAATGTCGGTAGAAAAAATGTTGTTAACTGCAAGTCAGACTGCGTGTAAAGGTCTCTTTGTAGTGGTCAATGT